CGATCTACCTTCTACAGCCTCCACGGGGGAGCTGTCGGGCATCTATTTCGGCATCCTCAACATCTATACCACCCTTCCGCAGTTTGTAGGCACATTCATCTCGACCATTGTTTTTGCCATTCTTGAACCTGGTAAGAGTCCTGAGCTAGCGGACGATGCCAAGAAGCAACCTGATCCAGATGGCCCAAACGCAATTGCGGTGTGTTTGTTCATTGGAGCCATGAGTAGTGTGGTTGCAGCATACGTAACCCGAAGGCTGAAGGTTATGTGAGGTTTCATATCAAATGGTTGTCCTGTATTATCAATCTTGTCTGTTTATATGCTGGTCTGGATATGGCAGTGGTGTTGGCGCAGGTCAGGGCGAATATAGATTTTGGATTATATGAGGTCATGTACAGGTTTGGATGCTTAATTCTAGTAGATCTAGAAATGACGATATAAATGCCACATAATATCAGCTTGAATCGCCTTCTGATTGGGATTCACACGTTGGAATTGCGACGATGCTGTTCATATATAAGTCACGAAGAAAAGATTTCGCAGGGGGTATCCTTAATAACTCCAATGCTGCCTCCTACTCCTCTGCCGCTAAAACCTCGAAGCTATCGCAATAGAGTCGTGAATGGACATCACCGTGTACTTCAACGAGTTCGTGCACTCTCATCTATTTGTCCTTCTCGTTCTCGGCCTCTGAGACCTTCTCCCACTCATCCTCAGTGCTAACGCTCGATTGTGTCCCTGCCGTACCACCACGCTGCTTCACCTCACCCTTTGACTCGATGGGCTCGAGTCCAGCAGCAGCGACGTCGGAAACCACGGGAGGTGCCTTATTCGGGGCCGGCGTTTCGACTTCTGTTTCAGTGTCGTCGTTGTCATCATTTCCCGAGGCTTCCTTAGCCAGCTGCTCCTGCTTCTCCTTCTCCTCCTTTTCGCGTTGCTCACGCTGGGCGATGGCCAGCTCTGCAGCGAACCAATTCACGCTCCACCACAGACCGCCGCATAGGATGGAGAGGATGACGCAGTGAATGTTGTATGTAGCCAGTAGGAGGCAGAAGAGGACGGTTTGCAGGGCGGCGAAGGAGGCGTTGGCGGCCTTGAGGATTGTAGGTGTTGGGCCCGGGGTGAAGATGTCTTCCCAGAGCTTGACGATGAAGGCTGACATGGTTGATGATGTATCGCGGGGTCGTTATTGACAAGGGGGGTAGTTGCTGGGTTTTCGCGCGGCGGCAGTTATGAGCGAGAATAGGTAGGTATGCTTTGTCGCAGAATGATACTGGTGAGACTTTTGTCTGGTATGTAACGAGATGAATCAAGTTATTTGCTCGTGGTAGCTTCTGTCTTTTTTTTTCTTCTCCCCCTTCGGTTCGACGTCGTATTCTCGCTTCTTCTTGTTTAAGTAATGACAGAAGCGGTCGCTGCCTGGCGACCACTGTACAGATTTAACGTCGCAAATAGCCCAACCAGCTTCGTCCGAGTGTTCTGTTCTCCTCTGATCGAGTAAAGAAACTGTGTTCTCCGTGAAATAAGTAATAGAGGACAGATTTGGTTTTTTCCGTGTATGAATGAGTCGCTGTCCCTCTTCTTCTTTTTTCACGCGTCGGCGGGGAGTTATTGATTAACTGGGCTTATTGTTGTATCGTAGGTGAATACAATGACGACAGGTGGTTGGTTCTTAGGCTACGGATGACCCAGATCTCGTGCCGGGCTCTTATTGGATTACATAAGGGGTCATGGCTTTGGTGATCTAGTGTTTGATATCATGACCTCGTGACTGGAAATGACGATGCGAATATTTGTATTACCAGAGAATAATAGACGTACTTTTTACTCATGATCACGAGTTTGTGCTTGTACCGTCTATTTCTTTGTGTCTGAGTGAGTATTTTCTATTGCCGATGTTTGGTTCTCGTCATGTGCCTGTACCTGGACCGAGCTTATAGTTGGAGGACGGAAAGAAAAAGAGTCGAGACTGAAATCAACATCCAAAGGCTGCACTTCGACACGATTCATTACCTAGAACATAAATTCGGTACACTAGCAGTAAAGTATCCAAGACACAGGAAGAAAAAAAGAAGAAGAAAAAAAAAACATGTATATTCAATCGATCGTAGTAATCCCAACTGTTGAAATCAACCTACCCTATACCTGCTATAAACACCACGCGAACTCTGGATAACATATCAAAATTTCATCTACAAGACCCATCTTATCGAGTCTGCTCGGAAAAGCTCTAGCCGACATGCGGGGTGTTAAGACGGAGAACGAGTGATATTGTGTTGCTTGTATGCTATGCGATTAATTGCTTGATTCATGAGTTGGGACGAGACATAAGAAATATCACAGCATTCAATGCATGTATGCAGAATGGACTGCGGCCTTACCACTTGTGAAACAACTGAGGTAAGTACGGATATACAGCTTAGATCAGCTGAAGAGATCGTTTCAAGCTCATCTGAACTTCGGTTACTGTCATAAACACTTGACCGATGAGGGAGCATAATACAGCCTTACCATCCAAAAACTTGCCGACATTTGACCAATTTAGGCGTATCAAGTAGAAATAATACAAGTACTAAAATCTCCGCTTACTTGACGTGACTGTGAGCGGAATCATCCGTCTGATCCTGATCCTTCGCAATGATCCTGATACCGTACACAGCCTCGAAGAGGCATAGGCCCCCAGAAGGCACCACCCCATCGTCTTGTGGAAAGGAGCAAGCTCACAGCCACCCCCGTAATAAATAGCTCTGCCCCTGCTTAGAAGAACTAACTCTGGTTCGACGAGTTAACCGCCGAGGGGGCCACACGAATTCGAGAAAAGATTAGCACCAGTAGACAGGTTAAAGTCTTCAACTCTTGGCCCCCCTCCTTCTCCCCTTGAGTCTGTATCTAACCCACTGGGATACTGCATGGCCTCACCACAGGAGTTGCCCACTTTGACTCCTCAAGCAAGGCGCCGTTGAGAGTCGAGACCTGATATAGCGCACGTGGAAAAAAACAAAGATGCGGCCACTAGAAGCAAGAAACGCACGAAGGATTCGTGTTGGTGGTTCTCCTCGGTCCACCCCTCACCATTCGCACCGCACAGTACCGCGGATATGGGTAAAGAGACAGCAATAGGGGCTTAAGACGGCAAAGGAACACTAGAGTAGTGACGGGCAGGTCCGGAACGAATACCGAGACTCCTTTGCCGTCATCGTTGAGCTAGCGGCTTGCCACAATGGCATCAGACAGCTATCAACGCTCTTGTATGCGCATCACCTTGTGGCAAAATGAAGATCCAACACCATGGGAGAATATGAACTCTTGATGTTGATCGATCGGAATTTTCTATGACAGATTGTTAGTATAGTAGACCTTTCATCTAGAGTTTGAGACCCAAGCTCCTTACGGTTCATGTACTTACCATGAATCAAATTTGATGGATCATTTTAAGCTCCGTCTTGCCCCCTTGAACACAGCTTTGCTCTCTTCGTCCCATCACTAGTTTCAAAAGTTCAAGTTTAGATCGACAGGAATAACGCTATGGTCGTCATGATAACAAAACGGCTGCCGCAAATATCCGCCAAGATCTCAAGATTGCTTCGACGCATGGATTCGATCCCAGAGGAGCCGGACCATGTTTCTTTGAACAAGTTGCCCTGGCATTAGATTGACACTAGTTAGGGCTACAATTGACAGTGTCAACAGGCAGGGACATTCCAGGTTTTGCACACTGACTGTTTGAGTGTTATCCAAGTGTTCCTCGGGTAGAGATCGATAACACACGTGTAACCAGGCCCTGTAGACTGTGTCGATAACTTAGAATATACCTAGCCTCAAGCCATGTTATGGAGACCCGGCATTCGTACCAGACACACAGACTTGAGAACAATAAAATGCGTTGTACGAAAGGCGTGGACAAGAACGACGTCCTACCAAAGTCCCGGACAGGCTAAGAGCTCGACATATTTCGCTTACATGCACGAAAACGAATTGGTGTCAGTGCTCTTGGCAACAACTGTTCACAATACGTACCTTGTTCTTCTTTTCTTTTCTGATAGTGCGAAAGAGAATTCACGCATCAAGTGTTTCACCAACCAACACTGCCTCGCAACTCATACGATGCAAGGAAGCAACATCATATTTCTGAGTGTTGTATCACAGTTTGGGGGTTGGGACCATGTTATTAGGCTCAGGGATTAAGCTCTGCCCAGCCAGCTCGGGACCGAGTCGGTTATGACCAGGATGCTGAGTGATCAGCAACATGAATACCCGTACCGTCGGGTTGTCCTTGTAGACGACACATAGAGACGACCATCCCGGCACTTACAACACGACGACTCAGGTCAACGTTAAAGAGACCAGATTAAACGTCAAAGATGAGTTTATTACCAACCCAACCTTCTTCGAATATTCTCTAGTGCGTGCTAAGGTTTTCACGGCGCCGGAGTAGCCGTTAAGGCTAAGCTTATAAGTATCTTGATGTACTGTACCGATATGATAGCGTGGTGAATGGACATAGCGGCCGTGAAACCAGACCAGGACCCTTGTTCTCGAAATGATCGGGAGGGGGATTGCGGGTTTGCTTTGACAGTAGAGGTGAACGTCAACTGCTAATGGGAGCTAGCCGATCTTCGACATATGGCCAGCATGCGTCTCGAGCATTTACTGCCGAGACCAGGTAGCTTAACTAATATGGCATGTACAGCCTGTCATGATGTTTGTTGCATGGAACTCGCCGAGTCAGGCCAGATGAAAGGCGTCCTTGCTTCTGGCTTCAATCGACTCTAGCTTCATTTCGTCATTGCTTGGTATTGGAGGATTGGCCGATGAAACTCGTAACGCTCAAGACAACACTCTATCAGCGAATCGGGATAATCACGGCGTTATGGAGAAGCCGTGATCTCCCCAGGCATTTGAGATACTAAGGTACCACAGTTTCCAAGATCCAAGTTCAAGTTCAAGTCTGCCTTGCCTTGTGATGTTGGTCCTTACGCACACCCTCGGACTCAGACATCATGCACAAGCCCTTTGATACTGAAAGGGAATCGATCGTCTCTCTAGGCAGCGAAATAAATCAATCTACGCCGATTATACAAGCTGCAGTAGTAGCTTCGGGTCAACTGAACACCCATTTTGGCCCGCGTCAACGCCCAGCCCAGCCAGAAGATGAAGACGACAACATGTTTCGACTGGAGGACATCGCGGTGTGATCTAGTGCTGTAAGGGATCGCAGCCGTTTCGCTGATCATTCCCTAGGGCTGTTTCCGGAGAATTTCCATAGAGTCACGGAACCGTGGCCTGTATGAAACATGCGTGGCGTCCTCAAATTGTGTGCTCGTGCTTTTAGTTTGACGGCTCTTTGAGTCGATGTCTTAGCTTTTGGGCTTGTGTCAAAACGAAGGGAAGGGGAGGGTGGGGATGCCGCGCGCGTAAGTTGTTAGTTCTGTCAACAGTACTGGACAGCTACCAAGCTTCAGACCAGACACAGCAGTTCTGAGACTAGTTCTTGTTGGCAATGTTTGACTACGTTTCTTGCAAGTTATTAGGCTCATTGCAAGAAGCAATTCTGGGCCGGTTGATAGATGCTCAACGTGCCACGCTCTTGCATACAAAACGGGCTGAGCTGTCTCTAACTGGTTAGCGTTACCCCTAACTTGGTGAAGCTTGGCATGAATCAACAAACTCATGGTTGTTTGTATACGTATGTGTGTCTGGTACCGATAAATTATACGTTATTAACAGTAACAGAAATGCGAATCCATGAGTCGAGCTAACATCCCGTACCAAGTGATGATATCTTGGACGTAAGGTTCTCCACTGGCTGGGTGCTTGCGGAGAAAAATGTCGCAGAAGCAAGATAAACAGTTGTGTTAATGATCCAAGAATGATCCTACACATTGCTAACTTATTTCAAAAACTTCAAAAGTCGACCGACAAAGTGACTCAAGTTGACACAAAGTTCTTACCAGTGAAGGGGGAAAATTGCGATGTTTGCTGGCTCATCCCACTTTGGTCACCATCTGGACTTGCATTCTGAATCGTGATATCAACAGAGGCCCGCATGTCAATTTCTCAAGCGTGTCATTCTCGGTAATAGTGACGGTGAGCAAGTACAATATGAGCATGTAAGATTTGACATGAGTGAGTGAGCTACCATGCAGGGATCCATTTCTATAGCTATTTTTGCGACGTCTCAAAGCAAGCGAGTTCAATTAAGAGGCTGTGCAATGTTTCAAGCGAGGATGAGCAACATCACCAAGAAACCAACCGCTGTTGCTGAATCTGTGAGACCGAGATGGATTTGAGTGATTGACCAACTGTTCGAGCTCTGCCAAGTTCGATTCGATGATGCTTGAGCCATATTATCGCTTGGGGGCTAAAAGTGAGCGAAAACCTGCAAACCACGAGCAACGTGATGAGGTTTGCCAGCCAGCATAGACCTAGAAGACAGTCACACCTAGTGTTTCTTTGGGTAAAGCTGTGATTCAAGTGAATTCTTCCGATTGGGTCCAAACAGTCGGGGGCCAAACGCTAAGGCTGTTGATCCACGTCAATGTCCTTTTGTTCCACTGCGCCCTTGGGACCAGGACGATCCCCGCTCCGCCTCCCGTTGGCAAGTCTTTGCGCGCCTGTCATCGATGTAACATCGGCGATTGGGTTGATTAGACGCTTCCAGAGTCTCAGCCAATTAGAAAAACCCCTATACGAGCAGCTGTGTGCCAAGCCTGAAGAGTCCAAGTCACCATCTGCTGTCAGGATACAGGTGGAGCTACCAATTCAGCGTTGCACCCGCTCAGGGCTGTCATGGTGCATCGGTCCGATGCATGCTTGAGTCCGCCATTTTGGATCTGTGATTCTGGTCCATGGTCATATTAAGCTCGCAATAGTCGTTGATCTGCAAATCAGAACCGGCCGAGAGCCCAAATCAAGTTCTTTCAGTGATGCTGTCCTAGGTTGACGATGGGAGAAAGAATCACGACGAGGTGAGTTTCATCACTGCGCAAAAGTGACCTCACGCTGAGCTGAGAATCAGAAAGATGGAATGGAGGGTATACAGCATCCCGGTGGTTACCCGATACGGAAGTCTGATTTATAGACTTTCGCGCTTATAACAACATATGGCAGCCCTGTGGTTGCTTGCATGAGCCTATTTCTGTCACCTGCGGCCTGCCTGTACGGCACTGTAGGTACTGTGCACAGCAGGCATGTGTCGAGAATAGATAATTGGATGACAAGGTGCCAATGGGGGCGAACGTGTATAGTAAGCAGGTAGGTAGCAGGCTGGCAAGCCAGGGACCCCTCTCAAGAAAAGGACGAGGAAGTCGAAGCGATCATGGGGCTATGCTGTGCGTGATAATGATACTCATCCGCGTTGACGATCCTGGGCTATTGTTGTGTTACATTCTGTAGGTATCTTGAGAGCGGGGGACCCAGTTGTGAGAGTGAAAGCGACGATGATAAACACGGACAGAGTCAACCAAAGCCCTGAAGGGTAAAGTACAGTAAGCAGGTGATAAAACTGCCGGGTTAAGGCTGTAACGTATCCCGGCTGATATTGGATTAACGTTAGAAGCCAAGAGTCGGCCGCCCACTGGCAGGGAAGAAAAGGGAAGGGAAGGAATGATAGAAGGCCTAGAGCCTGTCGCCATTCAATTGCGCGGCAGCGGGGAATTAGGGGAATTAGGGAACAGGCGACATGGAGACATGGATCGTTCATCCTTCTAGCGCAGCATCAGTTGGGTTGTCAATGGCGTCTAATCATGGAATAGATATCCGTCAGTTGCACCTGCCCTACGGTCAACAACCCAACCCAGCCCAACCTAATACAGCAGCAGCACCTTACAGAGTACCCCTACCCGACTTAGGGTGTTCCTCCCGCATCGCTTGTGCAGACAAACCCATCCTACTAGGCGCCAAAAGCGGAAGGCGTTTACGATTTGACATGCACCTGCTTCTAGATCAGAGACTCGAAATGGCTGCTTTTGCAACCAGCATGTCCACGGCACTGGACTCCGCGAGTCATCCCGACAAATTCCACCACACAGCACGGCATTCGATTCAACGACATGCCTAATTAGCGGGCGCGTCTTTGAATGAGCCCCCCGGTCGATGGGTACATCAGGGCATTACGCTCATTACCTGCGCTGTAACTTACAGTACTGTTACTGCTACTCTACTGTATCTGTACGGTCACATTGGATGGGGGTGCTCCCGACCACCCTCCCCTATCCCCTCTATACTATCATTGTCTTGTCCTTTTTTACTGACCCTTGGATCGCTCGTGGACCGCTCTTTCCCATCGTGAGCCCGCGACCTTGGCCCTGGATTCGCTATCGACCCGCCATTTATTGTGTTCACAGGGCCGTTTACCTATCTTATCGCTTAAGTTTTGAATGGCCTGCCGAGACACCCAGAACTCACGACGAACCATTCTTGGCAGTAGACAGGCCAGCCAAACTCTCTCGGGACATGTCATGGCCGCGTTATTTCCATAACCAGTCTAACTTGGAATTAATGATGTAGGTTGAGATTCAGAGTCGATGAGACTGCGTGGCCCCTACAGTGTGCCTGGGTCCTGTATGTGCCATTCTTCTTGGCGAAGCGGGAGCAGAATTGGATCCCGCTCTTTTCTACTCAATCAATTGGGTCGAAACTGCTTATATTACTGGAATGGGCCTCAGAAGGGAACGGATAACAAGTTGCGTTTTCCGCACAGCCAAGGAGATGGCTCCTTCTCGTCTATATTGACCATTCACTCCAACATGGACAAGCGAAGCGCAAGGATCTGAATCCCACGGCTTCCTCAGGATTCTTCCCGCCTTTCTTCTGTTGCCTCTGTACATACATGCATCTCTGCTTCCAAGGAAACGTTCGATAACCGTTAACCCGTAGACGTCAGTCAACTGCCGTCTGCAAAGCATAACACACATGGCTTGCGTATCTTTGCTTTTCATGGCGTGCAAAACTTAGTGTCCAGATAAACACGATACACATGTTGACATGACACAATATACACAATACTTGGATAAAAGAACAGCGGCAAATGCCAATGATATCCATGTCTCGGTCTCGGGACCACCAGACGCATACGCGAGTATAGGCGATCGTTAGGTTAATGTGCAGTCAGATAGGCAAAACAATTAATCCTCTCTCCAAAACAGCCAGAAGCAGAACAAGTCACTGACGATTCTGACGTACCCTGGATCGCGTCGCGCCTCTCCACCCTTTCATCGCTCGACAAAACTGGTATGGTCAGGAATTATTCCAAAATACCCGCCAGGTGCGGCTCCTGCTCTGGCCCAATCTCAGAACTTGTCGGTTGTCGTCTCATAATGCCAGTCCTCTCTTTCACTTGGGTTACGAGTAGGGAGTGATTGATCCATGGGCCCGCTTGACTTGGACGAAGAAAGAACCCACCCATTTGGATGGAGCCTTCAAGGTGGGTTAGGTGCGCGCGCTCTCTCCCACTCATACCCCCATGTCAGCTAGCCGTCGTATGGGTACCTCGATGGCCTGGTAGGGCAATCGACATGGGTTCTAAACACACTGCTGGTCAACTCCAAAAGAGCCTATCAATGGGTGCTTCTTTTTTCTTTCCCCGCTACGCCCCATACTAACGCCGTGACCACCATAGGTCCCTTAGACGATGGCTCGCTCACTTACCTACTAAGTTAACGGATCTCTCATTCCCAACACGCCCCCCCAGTCCTTCATACTCCAAGCTTTGCTCTTTCCCCCATCACTCTTTTTCCCATGGTGCCACTCCCGCAATCATTTGTTATCCTTGCCAACAGCATGTTTCCTTATTGCTCAGCGTACGCTCCACGCAGCACGCTCCATAGCACTGCAATTCAGACCCTAGTCATGTACTGCCCTGTACCCATGGCTCCATGTCACTCCAGTCTTCAAGGAGGGTTCTCTGTCAGTTCCTTCACTTCGTCATGCACGTTCAACGGAAGGATAGTGTACTGCCTTCTTCATATAAGTCGGCATCCTGTCCCTGGTCATGTTTGGGGCTCAGAGGTCCATAGATAGATCAACGTTCCAAACCAAGCTTCGATACTTTCTTGATCCTAAACAACTACACAAGGCATTCTTATAATCCCCGATCCCTTGCCCAGCTCACACTTATTAATCGCATCGGCGCCTCACATCAACAACACCCAAATCTTTTATCATCGGCTTCATAACTTCTCGCTTTTCCGTATGT